ACCCTTTTAAAATTAGTTGAAAAAAACTAGCTAATTAGTTAAAAATAAGACTACAAAAAAATAAAAATAAATAAATAATAAAATTGTTTGACATATTTTTACCTTTTGTTTAAACCCTTTTTGTAATTTTTTGGATTGGTCAAATTTGAATTTTTTATAAAAGAAATAAATTTATCAAATGAATTTTGACCTTTTTAGTAATATAAACTTTTTTAATCAATAAATTAGTTTTAAAACCATAACCATACAAAATCAATATTGAGTAAACTCCTTTACGCCACATTTGTTTGGCGGATTAAGTTAAATAAGATTGTTAGTGAAAGAATGATTAGTGAAGAGATTGTTAATGTAGGAATTATTAGTGAAGGGCTTAAATAAAAGTGTTTTTTTTTTTTTTATGATAGTGTGAGAGATGGTTAGTGATGGGATTATAAAATTATTTTTATATAAAATAAATAAATATATTATTTCAATATTAAAAAAAATCTAAAACAAATATTAAAACAAATATGTGCACTTGATTTTTTAAAAAAATAGCCTAATCCGCTCACTATTTTCTTAATGCCACCTTCTACCCAACCAAGCTAATCCCTCTACTGAAAGGGATTACTAACCTCCTTGGATTATCAATTTAGCCTCCCATTTCAACAGCAAACACGTTGTGAATAAGATCCACAGCCATAATAATCTAATCCGGCGGTAACCAAACTTGACATTATCTCTATCAATCCAACCATATAGGTTCACACTATCATCATATGAATCTTTTTTATTAATTAGTCATATTCTCATATATATTTATGATAAATTATATTGACCCCTCCTAAATTTAGAAGAAAAAAAAATTCAAATAACCTCATAATTTTAACATAATTATCAAACTCCCATTTTGTAAAGTTAAAAAGACTCAAACTAATACAAATAATGCAAAGTCGCAAGTATAAAGAAGGAAAATATATATTTTAGTATCAAGTGATGACAACAATTACAAAGGAGTAAAAAAATGACTAATTACATAGGAATGACCTTTGAAATTAGACTCCAACAGAACTAAAATCTCTAAGGCTGCCTTAAGGCCGAGTTTGGGAAGACTAAATAAGTATACTTTTTGACTTTTTATGAAATATGGATTGGATTTGGTTTGAGTTTGAAGTGATGTGTTAGAGAGGTGATGTGACTTAAATAAGATGATATGACTTAAATAGGATAGTAACTTTTTGACTTTTTAAATTTTTTAGAAGATGCCAAACTTGACCTAAGTAATGCTACGTAACAAGACTACTCAATCATATAATGATAATTTAAAAATTCAATAAATTCACTGTTAAGGGACGGGGGGTGGCCTCGGCCTCTTCCGAAAATATAGAAATTTTACTAAGTTTATATAATTTTGAGTATTTATAATATAATTAGTATATTACTCTTAAATTCCAAGTAAATTTAATTTGATCCCTTTGAAATCTGAATAATTTTTTTGTTATCCCAATATTTTCCAATTGCTCTTTTTAAATTAAATATAACTAAAGAGTAATGTTAGAGAACAAGAATTCAGAAACAAAAAGTATCAACAAAAATAAATAAATAAAACAAAATAAAATTTAATATGTGGTCTGGATTGAATTATTGTATGGTTGAGATTCATACATTAATTTTCTTGATACTTTTTATATCTGACTTATTCGTCTTTAGTATTGTTGCACAATTTATATTATCATTTTTATTCACCCTCTACACTTTATAACACCATTATATAATTAACGTCATGAATTTTATTTAGCTTGTTTGGTTTTACTTTTTGAGATTCACTTTTCAGATTGAAATTTTTTATTTTTCGTGTTTTTTGTTTTCATGGAATTTTTTAATATTTTAAGCGTTTTTTTTTAATTTTTAGATACACCAAATATAAATACACTTTAAAAGTATAATATTTATGAAAAAAATTTTAGGGAGATTTGGCTATAAACCCCCTTTACCTTCCTTTCATTGTTAAAAGGATTAAGAAAAAAATTATACTTTCTAAACCCCCTCATAATTATAAAGTCTTGCATAAAGGACAAAATTTATTATTTAAATATTTTATCAGACTATTATACCATCAACTAAATCTTCTCACCTTCTCCCTCCAGTCTCTCTCCACCTTCTCTGTCTGTCTTCTCCTCATCTAAATACAGCTTCTCTTCATAGCCATGTCAGAGGCCACCTCAGCCGCCGAAGCACCGTCCACCAATGTATTCTGGCCACCAACCGCCATGATTCTCGGCGCCACCCCCTCCTCCGCATCCAATGTCAGTCAAGCCTTCTATTTCTCTTCTGAAAACCCTAGAATTGAAGAAACCAGAGTCTTCATGCACCTGTACCATACTCCATTCACTTGTTTACTGGATTGAAATTCTAACAAAGGCTTTCCCTCTTCCTTCAGTCCTCAGTTCAATTTATGATCTAAGAGGAGCCCTAATTTGAGTTTGCGATCTATGCTTAAGAGGCTTGGGTAAGGTTGATTCAGCTTATAACAAATTTGGATTTGACTAATATCATCTCAGATCTGGTTTGTGGTATTTCGAATTTTGATTTGGAGTCGACCTTGTAGCTCAAAATTTTGCCTAAGATCTGGATTGATGACTTGACCCCCACCTTTGGTTTGATGTCTCTATTTGATCTTCGACATATGTTGATTAGTTTTTTTAATTTTGTTTTTGATTTATTTTAGTTGATTTGCCGAGTTCAATCAGGTGTGTACTCTAATTTTTGTTTGACAGAATGAGAGTAAAATTTTACTTTGGTCTGTACTCTGTTTTTGTTTGACAGAATGAAAGTAAAATTTTACTCTGGTTTGGGCTCTGTTTTTGTTTAGCAGAATGAAAGTAAAATTTTACTCTGATTTGTGCTTTGTTTTTGTTTGATAAAATGAGAGTAAAATTTTACTCTGGTATGTGCTCTATTTTTGTTTGATAAAATGAGAGTAAACTTTTACTTTAGAGTTATCTGTTTTGTTTTTTTTTTATTTTTATACAATGATAGTAAATTTTTACTCTGTTATTGTGTACTTCTGTTATTTTTTTTTTGGACTCCTAGTGACAATAAAATTTTACTATCAATTCATTGGAGATTTGAATTATATAATGATAGTAAAATTGTACTTTCAGAGTAAAATTTTACTCTGATTCAGAGTAAAATTTATTATGATTCAAAATAAAATTTTACTTTGATTAAAAACATGTTAATTTGCTTAACGATATAAAAAATTACTTTGAATCATAGTAAACTTTACTATGATTCAAAGTAAAATTTTACTCTGATTAAAAACATGTTGATTTGCTAAGGTTAAGTTTGGCATCCTTTGAAAAAGTCAAAAAACCAAAAAGTCAACTATCATTTTTAAGTCACATCATCTCATTTAAGTCACATCACATCTCTACCACATCACTTCAAACCCAATCCATATTTCATAAAAAGTTAAAAAGTGCACTTATTTAGAACATCCCAAACAAACTTTACTCTGATTCAAAGTAAATTTTACTCTGAATCATTCAAAATAAAATTTTACTCTGAAATACACTGTGAAGATGGCTTAATAGGAGAGCTAATAGATATGAGGATAATATAGTAAAAGAAACAAGTTTTAAAATATTAGGGGGGTTGAAAATACCTATATAATTCTTGTCCTTTTAAAAAATAAATTAGACAATGAGGGGTCTGTCACTAAATCCTCCTTAAAAAATTCACTAAATACCAAAAATCTTTATAAAAAAGATGAAAATTCAATACATTTTTGTATTCTTATATATTTATTGATTTTTTAAAATATCTTTTTACGAATATTTGAATTTTTAGATATATCTAAGTAAATACACTTTAAAAGTATAATATTTGTGAAAAAAATCTTTAAAAAATTCACTAAATATCAAAAATATAAATAAAAATAAAATAAAATTGAAAATTCAGTACATTTTCGTCTTCTTGTGTATTTATTGATTTTTTAAAATATTTTTCACAAATATTTGACTTTTTAGATACATCCAAATAAGGTGCATTTAAACAAGTATTCACTAAAAAAAACGCAAAAAATAAAAAACTCAATTTTTAGAAAATTGAATTCAGAAAATTAAAACCAAACAAAAAGTATTAAATAATAATACAAAATGTGATAAAATCTATATACCAATTAAACTTTTAAAATTTTATTGCTGTAAAAATCATATTTCAAAAAAAATCTAGAAGAGAGAACATATTTTAACTCCCTCAATTAAAAATTCTGGTTCCACTCCTAAATTAAGGTAAGAATTGGAAGAAGAGAAACAAGTGCCTTTATGAAGCTTTTGTTTCCTCTCTTTTTGCCATGCAATTGCTAAAGTGGCGTTAGGCCCACCACCACCACCACCACCCTATAGATAAAAAGATTCTAAGGTTTTGCATGTGTCCAGCTTCAACTTCAAGCCTCCTTGATTGATCTTCTTTGTTGCACAAGTTGATGCTGATTGACACTGCACCCTGCAAAATTCCACATCAATTTTGTCCCCTTTTACTATAAAAGTGTAGGTCCCAATTAATTAATTAAGTAAAACTCAATCCACAAGTTAGTTGTTGAGATAAAAGTGCCTCAAACTTATATATTGCACATTACATTTTTTTTCCTTTACAAATGCAAAATGCAAACACATTCTTTAAATAGCTTGTGTTAGATGCGACGATAATTAGGAATGTATGCCAGAAATAATGCAAATAAAGAGACATTAACCCAAAACCTCCTCCAATTTGACAATGTTACATGCTCTTGATAGGAACTCAACTTGAAAAACTACCTGTTGAGATGAGGGTGATCTCATGCTTACGTACTGCACATTTTTTTTATTATCTTTTTATTCCTTTCATAAATTCAAGATCCAAACACATTTTTAAATAACTTGTGTTAGATGCCACTACAGTTAGGAGTGGAAATGCTATATTGGAAATGAGTAAATATATATTTGCATAAAATGAACCTCAAACAACCAAACAGTTAGTTATAGATACAACAGTCATTTGACAGTTTGGGAAAAAAAGGCACTTTCCTTCCCAGAATGCAGTTCCAAATAACAGAAGTAAAAAAAAAAATGTGGTAATTGGGGTTCTACAAAAATGGAAGGTTGTCTACAAGCAGAAGCTGGTTAGGGTTTCCGCTTCTCGTACTTTATCTGCCAAAGCTCGACATCATTTCCTCTGTCGTACTCTCTCACGTATTGTGGAATCTGTGTAAGATCAATGAGCTTGCCAACAAAGCAGGGCAACGATCTGCTTTTTAGATCATTGCATTCTGCATTATACATTGCAAAAAACCCATTAGCAGCTTAAATTTAAGAACATACAATGATAGAAACCTTCTTAAATAGTAGAATTTACCTCCTTCATCCCTCAGATAACTTCGGAAGCGTGAATACCCATTTGCAACAACATTAAGATCATCAAGAGTGAAGTTGTAACGTTTTTCCAATGCCAAGTATGCCACCTGAAATAAGAGAAAAGTACGATGCTCCTTAACAATTATCAAGGTAACTTGTAAGAAACCCACTCCCGTCTACAATAAAACTCGCTCTCAACTGAGATAGAATTTCTCAGGCATACAAATCTCAAATAAACGAAAAAAAAAATAACTCAAAACTATTCTAACACATCAGAGTTACAAAATAATTTATTTATACTTGACAAGGATAATTTACAGTTGATATCAATTTCTAATATTTATTTATATTTTAACACATATATTACAACAAAGCATAAAAAATATTTGTTAGAATATATTTATATATTTAATAATAAAATATATACACACTCCTATATGCATTTCGAACTTTGGAAACTTTTATATGCCATAGCTCCCCCACCCCGGATTCGTGCAACCAAGGTTCTCACATCAGAATTGCAATAGGTCCAAGTGGGAAGCACAATACTAGATGGATACTTAAAGCGAGATGGAACAGCTTTTTTATATTTATATGAATTTAGTTTTTCTCTATATATTCTTATTCTGCCCATTCTACTTTTCTAGTCTGTACCTTTTCTGGTCTCTGCATCATTAGTCTCTCTAAAGTATTGAAAAATGCATTGGTCAGGTCATCACTATAAATTACATCGGCAGCTACAATCAGAGAAGCTCTCTGGAGCTCTTCAACTTCCGCTGAGGTCCAAATGTGCCTGGATAACAGGACTACACAAATGTAATATTCTCTTTCAGTGCATGTGTACTTTGAAATAGTCTACTAACTGTAAGGTTGTGTTTGGATCAAAGATTAGAGGAGGTATTTGTGAAGGAAAATGAAATAGAAAGGGAAAAGTGAATGAAATAAAAGTTAATTTTTTCTTTTTCACATTTCCTTTTCCTTTGCATCCACAAATCACTCAAATTCTAAATCCAAACACAAAAAAAGGAACGATTGAGCGGGAAATCACAGAAGAATTTAAATGTGTTAGATGATCAAACATAAAGTTCACCTTTTTTTAGATGGAAAATTTTCTACTACTTTAGGGGGCCAGGAATCCTTCCAATCAAGTTCTCGTACATGAACTGACGCTTGAGAATGGAATGATTCAGAGTTGAGACGAACGTTGTCAGCGCAGTTGTCAACCACTTCATCACCATGGTCTGTGAGACAATGCCAAAGGGCTTAACAAAATATATGAAATTAAGGTTGACAACTTACATGTTTGTTTTACTTTTGGCAACAAAAAAAATATATATATTATGAATATGATATTCTACATTAACTGTTGGAAATGCTAGGCCTATAGAATTAAGGCAGGGTGGCTTAAGTAAAGGAGTGTATCTAGGGTACTTTGTGATAAACGAGTACTCACTAGAATAAAAAGAAAATTCTACAAAACGTCTTTATTAGACCAGCAATGTTGTATGAGACGGAATGTTAGGCAACTACGAAACAACATGTAGATAAGATGAATGTTGTTGAGATGAAGATGCTACGGTGGATGTGTAGCAAGACTAGAAACAAAAAGAATTATGAATTAGTATATTTGTGAATAGATAGGAGTAGCACCGATAGAAGATAAGTTGAACGAGAATAAATTAAGATTGTTTAGTCATATACAGTGGAGGCCAACAGAGGCAGTAGTGAAGAGATGTGATACAGTAACGGTAGATGGAAGTGTTAGGAGAAGGGGTGTAGAAATTTAATGTATAAAGAGAAATAGAGAATTGTATTATTGATTGATTTATATTGATTTCTATTACAATGATTCATGATTCCTATATATAGAAGAGGGTGAGTGTGTAGTAGGTAAGGAGTAGGTGAAGTGGAGGTGGTAGTGGTGTAGTGGGTTAGGTTTAGTAGAGTAGGTTTAAGTGGGTGAAGTAGGTGATAGGTTTTAACAGAATTAAGGCAGGGTGGCTTAAGTAAAGGAGTGTATCTAGGGTACTTTGTGATAAACGAGTACTCACTAGAATAAAAAGAAAATTCTACAAAACGTCTTTATTAGACCAGCAATGTTGTATGAGACGGAATGTTAGGCAATTACGAAACAACATGTAGATAAGATGAATGTTGTTGAGATGAAGATGCTACGGTGGATGTGTAGCAAGACTTGAAAAAAAAAAAGAATTATGAATTTGTATATTTGTGAATAGGTAGGAGTAGCACCGATAGAAGATAAGTTGAACGATAATAAATTAAGGTGGTTTAGTCATATACAGTGGAGGCCAACAGAGGCAGTAGTGAAGAGATGTGATACAGTAATGGTAGATGGAAGTGTTAGGAGAAGGGGCAAACCTAAATTGATGTGGGCGAGTGTAGTAAATAGAGATATAAATCTTTTTAATTTGACTAACCAAATGGCTATTAATAGAGTTGAGTGGAGAAGAAAGATTCACGTAACTGATTTTATTTGATGATAGCAAAGTAATATAGTGATAAAAGTTTGTCAAAACTCAGGTTGCGTTTGGTAGAGTTTTCTAAATATGATTTGAGAATAGAGTTGCATTTTGAGTTTGTGAGTTTTGAAATTATGATTTGAGTGTGGAAAATTTATTTGGTGAATGAGTTTTGAAAAGAGTTTTGAATTGAGTAGGAAATTTTTGATGTAACATATTTGATATAAAAACTTACAACTCATAACCAACACACAATTCAAAATTCTATTTAAAACTTATAAAAAAATTTAAAAAATTCAGAAAATATTTTTTATTGAATATATAAAAATTAACATGTGTTAATTGCAAAAAAAAAAAAAAAAATGCACTGTTCCGGTCAACCAGCCGGACGACCAGTTAGCCCAAATTTTCCCGCCTTGGACAGAGTTTTCAAAAGTGAGTGGAATTAATTTTTGAAAACCGTAAACAAACACGGTGTGCAAATCAAAGCCTGAAACTAACGTTCCAAAGCTCTACCAAACAGAGCCTCAAATTTTCTTTTGCTTTTTCAATTTTTCTCTGATCAAACAAAACGATCACAAACCAATATTGAAACTCAACATACAAAGTATGCACTCCTGGGTATAAAATGTTTTATCACTATATTTGCTCACCTCATACCTGTCAGGAAGATGGTTTTAGCAACACGTGCAAGTAATATGCCAACCAAACCTGAAAAGGACAATGAAATAAATAGTGTCATTTGATAACGGAGGAATATGCACATATTGTAGGAGGAAACCAAGAATTTACATTTATTTTGATTATTCTTAGCTTTTAATTAGTGATTTTATTTTATATTTCTTAATTTTTATTTGTGTCCTTTCTCAGAAGAATCTATATATGCCACACAAGTCATGCAAGAACGAAGAAACGATCATGTTTTGTGGTTCACTATTTAGGCCAACTTCAAAGACAATGCAATACAGGGAAGCCACATGTTTGTTAATAATTTAGACCTTGTTTTAAAATAGCATATCACACAGCAAACAAAAAGAATGCACTAATAATCATCTTTACCTGTACCCGCACCAAGCTCTATAGCAACAATTCCATTAAATTCTGATGATGCAACCATCTTATGTAAAACAAAATCAGCTAGTATCAGTTCTGCTCTCCATACCTGAAAGGGAAGAGGACATTAGTGAAATAATGTATCACAGAAACAGCTTAAGAAGCTTACATGAAGCATCACATGAAACCATTTCTTACCTGCAAACCAACGCTTGGAATTGATGAAGTGATATTATGCTTGATGGTAACAACATAATTATCCTTAGATCGTCCTGCACGCAGAAAAATGTGGTTCTTCAGAGTCCCTTTTTATTTTATCCAGAAAATCAAGTAAACATAAAACAGAAAAAGTACTTCAATTACAACATTTATGATTATTTGAAACTGTCAGTAGTAAGGTTGGGTTGCATTTAGGCCAAACCAGTTCAAATTGGGAAAACCTCAACCAGAAGCCAACAATATATTGAAAGATCGAATTGAAAATAATCCACAAACTCATTCATATCAAGCTAGAATCTAAATGCTTAATGAGTAAATAAAACACACATATCCCCAGTAAAGATTTTAGATGGTTAAGAGCGAGGGAAAACTCAAACTATTTGAATCAAATTCAGGTTACCCAAGTTCGAACTATTTGATTAATGAATTACCAATATATACTTTTGTGTGAGCAAATGTTTGGGAAGCTGAGCCAGCTTCAGTTATTTTTTTCCCTTGTCGAGAAAGATAAAAAAGAGCCCATTTTAAAATTTTTGAACCCTCATGCAATTTATTTATATGCCCAAGACACAGTTGATGTGCTAATGAATTCATCAAATCATCAAAGTTGTGTACAATATATATTTAAAAAAAAAAAAAAAAAACCAGCTAGAACCTTGCATAATCAATCAAATCAACAATTTGTAGTCTAGCAGACCGGATGTATGAAGCACAAATATTGTGAAGAAAAAAATAATATTAGCCCTTCGGCCGAGTAATCATGGTTACCAATACTGAAATATCATCTTACTTGCCCTGAAAAACATGGATAAGCTCACAATATAATGAAATAAAGGAAAGAAAACATGATGGATGATATAAGATTTCATGTCAAATAGTTAATAACAGCTTACTGCAGCGTCGAGTTACGACAAGATCACCATCTTCATCCAAGCTAGCAACTTGGTGTGTTGGAGTTGCTTCATCTTTAAATGCGTCAATATATTTTCTATCCACGGGCTCAACTTCAAAATTATTGAACATTACAATATATGTTACTAGATATCACAGTCGAAAATGAAAATAATTCTACTAAGATTTTAATGAGCTTTGACAGGAAAACTGTCAATGCAGGCAAAAATCATAACACATAAAGATGACACCAAGTTTGTGCACACTATTAATAAGTACAGCTATATCATTGAATGAAAAGTTTTGAATGAAAAGAACAATATTATCAAAATTACTGCAAAATGTGGGCTTATGTGTGACAAGAGTTCAACATTTCTAAGATGCCCCATCTTAAAATGAAGTATATGAGCCTTCTCACGTTTCCAAATACCTTTATTAATTTCCATTATCATTTGACAAGTCAAACTCTTTGGTCCTCAATTCGGTATCACCTGGTTTTGCAAACGATACATGGTACACATTGAATAACACAATCTATATAAATGAGTCTAGCAACAAACTTTTAGAAAATTTTTCTTCTAAGAATCTATGCATGCAAGAGTTATATAGACCTGGAATTGCAAATACTAAAATTGGTGTGTACATTCCAAGGTGCACAATTTCTTTAAGCTCAAAGAAAATGCATTTAGAATAAATCTCCTTAGTTTTAAAAGCATTTCATCCTAGTTATAGCAGCTGAAAAAAATGAATACATATAAAAAATACTTGGCCTTAGAGCATCTCCAATCCTTCACCTTTCTGTCAACAAATTTAAATTTGATGAAAAAGTGTCAAAAATCATCTCCAATCCTTTCATCAAATATTCATCAAATCAAGGGAGAGTCATTTTTTTCATCAAATCGAGAATTCATCAAATCATTCAACAAATTTAAATTTGATAAAAATTTAAAAAGATTCAGCATTGGAGATGATATTTGTTCATCAAATTTGATGAAAAGGGAAATTTGAGATAAGAGGGGAATTTTTAAAAAGATTTTGATAAAAATTTGATGAAAGGATTGAAGTAGTTCATATCAAATCAAACTTTTTGATCAAATTTGGAATTAGATAGAAAAATTGGTGAAGGGTTAAGAAAGCAAAGTATTGGAATACACAACCAATCAACTTGATTCTCACCAAATCTGATGAGAAATAAAACATATAAAATAAGTAAGTTCTCTCTCCATTTCTCATCAATGAAGAATCATTTCTCACCAAATCACATTATCCAAACAGACTGCAAAAAATCCTAGCCTTGTTCAGTGGCTCACAATTAAAAATGAAGCCAGATAGTCATCGAACTCTATTGCATTACAGCTCATTGATTGAACCCATCACAGAAACACATACTACAAAAAGGAGTGCCAACTAATTTACCTTCTCTCTTCTTTTCAATTTCAATGTTTATATGGGTTTTACTGGATAAGAATTTAAAAATAAAAAAAAAATAAAAAAAATGGAAATATGTACCTTATAACAACACACTTAAATAGCATAATTCTATACTTTCTGAATAATTTTGAGATGGTAAAAAAAAGCCGGTTTTTTGACTTATTAACTTGTTTAATTCATATAACCTCTCTAATTTTTTTTATATGATTTTTCATGATAACTCAATAAAACAAAAAAAAACCGCTCTCCTAAATAGGCCTAAAAAAATATCATAAACAAATACAAAAACATCCTAACTAAATATCTCAAAATAATAACACAAGCAAAAAATTAGTAAGAAAATGACGTAAGTACGAGTGCCTATGCACGGAGGCGTGTATAATAAAATTCTCCATTAAAAAATGAAGTTAAAAATGGAGAAGATAGAAGAAACCCAAATCAGAGTGGGAAGAAGAAGCAATTGGGTTGGTACCAGGTGGGAGTGAGAAGGTGAAGCGGGAGATTTGTGGCCCAGATAAATTAGGTGGGCAACCCAAGTGAACCTCGCTCATCACGATATCCTCCTCCTCCTCCGGCGTCGGCGATGGTGGAAATGGCGGCGGAGCTGGTTGTGGTGGTGAAGACGATGACGAGTCCTCTCTGAAATTCATTGAAACAGAACAATCGAACCTAAAATAGGAGAGGGAAAATCAACTGCGAGCTCTTCTGCGCTAGGTATTTAAATGACCAGTTTGGTGATGGAAAAGAAGAGAAAACTAGTTGACGTTTGGTTTGTGTCCGAGAGATTTGTTTTAGAAATAAAAAGTATGTAATGTTGTTTGGTTTGGTTTTTTTCAAAAGATGTTTTGGAAAATTATTTTGAGAGAGTGTTTCGGAAAAAGTGATTGATTTGATGTGTGTGAGAGAGAGATTTGTTTGGAAAACTTGTTTGGTTTAGAAGTTTTGAGAAATTTTTTTGAGAAAATTTGTTTGGTTTCATTACTTTTAAAAACTTATTTGTAGAAAAAATTTCTCAAAATTTTTTCCGAAATTCAAACCAAACGAACCCGAATTTTTCTTGTTTGGGTTTGGGGAAAAAAAAATAATAAAAAATATTACAAAATTACAAAATTAAAAAAATAAAAAATCAAGATTTGACTTTTTTCAATTTAAATTCTAATTAAGAAAAGTATTTTAATTATTAACTCAACAGAGATAGATATGTACATAAGTTATTTAAAATATTATTTTTTTCATTGATTTTATAAAAATAAACTGATAATTTAGATTGCAAACAAATAAAATATTAGAGTTTAAATTAATAAAACAAAAAATTTTAAATTTATTTTGTTACAATGATTAAATCTAGAATATATATATATATATATATTTGTAATTTCCCCGCCTCCCCCTCCCCTTAAAAAAAAAAAAAAAAAAAAAAAACAAAAAAGCAAACAAAAAAATGAGAAGAAAATTGGAAAAATATGAAATAAGTCTTACTTTTTTTTTAAATAAATATTTTTGTTGGGTTCTATTAACAAGCTGAGACAGTTAATTCAACAGTGTTAATATATAGTCTAAATATTTTCATATTAGACTAAAATTAAAATTATTTTTTATCAAGCTTCAATTTTTGGGACTTTCTTGCATTCTTACTCAATTGTTGAAACATTATTTTTATTTTTCAACAGTATATTATTTATTTTTTTAATTCTTACACAACGATGTTACTCAATTATTTTTAGTATTTTTTTGCACTACTCTTATCTTGAAACCTTCATAGTTGTTATATTTTTTAGATTCACATTTCAAACTTTTCAGATAAATTAAAAAAACAAATTGATCTAACATTCCTCTTTTACTTTTAGTAGTGGAAAATTTTCACAATATATATATATTTTTTTTGCCTAAAGTCTATCACCCACGTCTATATATCATGCCATGCATTGTGTATACAGCAATGGCTTCGGACCCAACCTAAATGGCCATGTTGTGTACTATATTAGCACATGCACTATCTCCTGCTAAGAAAACATGATCAAAATCAACATAGTCCTTTAGCCATACCTCACTATCATTAGAGGTAGAGTGACAAGCAACCCACTTGACAGCGGCCCAAGAATCATCGTAAGCGACTAAGAGAGAGTACTCTAGGGCTCTTCTGTAATCAACAGAGGCGACAATGATGTTTGCTTCGGCCACAAGTGAATTGAGATAGTTATGGTATGTAGGAGAGGAGGTGGTTTCGATACAGAAGTCCCCGCCATGAAAGTAGACAAGAAGAGAAAGTTTGTGATATGGTTGAGGGTTTTGGGGATGTAAAATCTTTGTGAATTTTGTGAGCAAATCAGATTAAAAGTTGTGTGAGTAAATCATATTGAATTTTCTCTAGACTACGTAAATTTTCTCAATATGTGGAACTATGTGAATTTTCTCTAGTTGTGATCACTGTTTGTAATTTTGTGAATTTTCTCTGAGGCTACAAGGCTATTTTAGGCTATAATAGCCGCCCAAACCACTTCCCAAACAACCCCTATATTAGCACATGCACTATCTCCTGCTAAGAAAACATGATCAAAATCAACATAGTCCTTTAGCCATACCTCACTATCATTAGAGGTAGAGTGACAAGCAACCCACTTGACAGCGGCCCAAGAATCATCGTAAGCGACTAAGAGAGAGTACCCTAGGGCTCTTCTGTAATCAACAGAGGCGACAATGATGTTTGCTTCGGCCACAAGTGAATTGAGATAGTTATGGTATGTAGGAGAGGAGGTGGTTTCGATACAGAAGTCCCCGCCATGAATGTAGACAAGAAGAGAAAGTTTGTGATATGGGTGAGGGTTTTGGGGATGTAAAATCTGTGTGAATTTTGTGAGCAAATTAGATTAAAAGTTGTGTGAGTAAATCATATTGAATTTTCTCTAGACTACGTAAATTTTCTCAATATGTGGAACTATGTGAATTTTCTCTAGTTGTGATCACTGTTTTGTAATTTTGTGAATTTTCTCTGACTGTGTGAATTTTCTCTGACAATAATTACTGTGTGAATTTTCTCTGATTGTGGTCACTGTTTGTAATTTTGTAAATTTTCTCTAATTGTGGTCACTGTATGAATTTTCTCTGGCTATGGTCACTGTATGAATTTTCTCAAACACTGTGGGATTGTGATGTGTCTATAGAGAATTCCAGTAAAAAATGCCCAGAGAAATTCTAAACATGAACATACAAACAAATTCAGAGAAATTCTAAGGGGATTATGATGTATCCACATAAATTCCGAATATGAACCCACAAAAACACTCAAAAAAATTCCAAGGGGATTATGATATGTCCAGAGAAAGTGCTAGAGAAATTCTAAACATGAACACGCAAACACACTTAGAGTCCAAAGAAATTCCAATGAAAATGCCCAAAGAAATTCCAAACATGAACACACACACTCAGAGAAATTCCAAGGAGATTGTGATGTGTCTAGAGAAATTCCAGTGAAAATCAAACAAGCCACACCAGACAAAATTGGTCAAAACACAGAGAAATTTGTGAGCAAACCAAAGAAATTTCTCTGTATTTCGAAATTTCTTTGGATCGAAATTTCTTTGTTTCGAAATTTCTCTACAAAATTTTAAGGAACTCCAACTGTTATGAAAATATTTCATATAGTTTATGCTATAAAATCTTAATATGAGGGATCTTAAAAAAAATTCTCCATAATTTAATGACACAGTGTTTTGGAACTGAGAATCATATTTTTTTAAAAGGCATTAATAGATTCATTCTACATTCTCATATAATTTAGTGATAGAGTGTTATAGAAATTTGAGTACAAATTTTTTTAAAGCCCTAACTTGCTCTAGGTTGAAGTTAAGCTTTATTCTTCATTGAAGGGATTGACTAACATTTCATTGACAAAATTTTGGATAGAAGTTAGAACAATTGTATTAATTTCAAAAATTTCAACTCCAGACATATCTATACCATTAATTAGAGCTGCAAACGAACCGAACTGTTTATAAACAATTCGAGCTCGGGTCGTTTAAAACTCGTTTGAGCTTGACTTGTTTCCTAAATGATTGAGATCGAGCTCGATTTTTAGGCTCATTTATTAATCGAGCCGAACTCGAGTAGCTCTAAGCTCGGGTCGATAAGGCTGGTGAACATAAAAATAAATAAATAAATAAATATTTTATTTTTAATAATCTATTTTATTTTTTATTTATGTTTGGTATTTGTGTAAATTTACATATTTGATGATAAAATTTATTATTAATATAAGTATTATTATATATTTTACTCATAATTTTGCATTTTTTTTATCTTAACAAGTTAATTAATATAATTTTTTTTTTTTTTAAGTTCGAGCTTGAGCTCGAACTCGGCTCGTTTATGTAATCAAGCAAGCTCGAGCCAAGCTTGAGCTCGAGCTCGATTTTTGAAACTCGACTAGAGCTTAGTTCAAACTCGAGCTTGACCAATTCTTAATAAACGAGCTTGAACATTCAAAAGCTCAGTTCGGCTCGACTCGATTGCAGCCCTACCATTAACCAATGGGCATGGCTAAAACTTTGGTATTTCACTAAGAAGTCAAAAGTTCAATTTTCACCTCTACAGTAGCACATGCCTTCAACGATCTCAATTTCAAGCATGGCTTATACAATTACCCTCTTCCATTGGCAGCAAGTAATATTACCGACATTCTTTCGAATCTGACAATGGCTTCTAAGTGAAATATGTTTTGCATACCATCTCAATAAGGCATCCCACCATGTGAATGAAACAACACAACACAAACAAACAACAATTTGGTGAAGAAGAACTAAGAGAACCACAAGAAGCCCGGGTCATGGAATTTCATGAGAGTTGAAAAAGAAATTTGATATATATCATATGCCTGTAAACTTGTAGAGAACCCAATAAAGATCACCGATGCACAGTTACAATTTTGATGGGAAGAACTATAAGAATGTAGTACACTTTGTGTGTAAAGAATGAAACAATTGTTAATAAAAAAATGATTTTTTGGTTTAAGCTTTTCATGATTTTCTGATATTTTTTACTTCCCTTTAAGAGCAGCAAGCCTTGCAAGAAAATCATCATAGTCCGGCAGCTTTGGATGCACATGCCCAGTATCTGGTTGAAATGAAGATGCTCGCTCAGGCCCATTACTCGTCATCTCAATTGGATTCGTTGGTTCGGGTGGGAGAGACGTTGCTCTAGCCGGAGTAGGACCATCTTTGGATTGTTCTTGCAAACGAGGAGGCTTGAGAGCTTCTTTTACTTTCCCCATCTCATAAGGCGATTGTTTTGTACTGTAACGCATCAAAAGCCTATCCATCGCCCTTTCCTCTTCATCCTCCTCATCACAAACGTCCTCCTTCACCATTTTAAGGCCTGGTTTTGCAGCTTCATCGCTGCCAATGTTCTCATGTGCCGGTGGAGGTTTCACGCGCGTCCTTCGAACTGATCTTGGTTTTGGCTTAGCATCAGCAACTGTATCACGACCATTGATTTCAGTTTCACTGGCCTTTGGTTTGGTGTAAGGAGGGGGGATAAATCTATGGTGGGAGGGCTGCTGCTTTTTGTCATCAGCGTTTTCCTCAGAAACCTTTCTTTCTGAATTTGAATTCGTCTGTGGGTCATTTTGGTCAGTTCTTGCCACTCGAATATCTATACTGGGAGTTTTTTCCCGATTTTCACTACCACGTGGTTTGTATCGATCATCGTCCTCCTTGTTCCTTTTTGGAGGAGCATCACTTGCATGGTGTTGTTTAGCAGGGTTGCCTGTTTTTCGGACAGGTTCATCCTTGCTTCTGTGCAATTTGTTTTTGTCATCATTGGCATTCTCAGACAAGTCCTGCAAATGAATAAAATGTGATTAAAATACAGAAGACAGGATTAGAGAAAGCTCTAGCCTTCTATGATATTATCCCCCATCCCTCTGACACAAAACACAACTCTAATAACTAATTGCATCGAAAATGTTGGGGGTGCAACCATGGTTTTAAATAACTGTATTGACAATAAGGTTATGTATCAGCCGACATCAAACAATATCAGCCAATATGACAATATATAGGTGAATATGAGTATTGAAAACCCAAAATCCCGATAGGCCTTCTGATGTTAGCAGGAAATCAACCCTCAGAAAGGCATGTTTTAGACTTGGTACTGTCCAAGATTGGATTTAGTCTCACCCCCCTCTATTCATTAACCAAAGACAACCCTAAAAAAGGGGATCGCTTTTTTCTTGGAGAAAGTCATGTTTCAGATTCATGGAATGAAGGTTCTAGACTCATACAATACTTATCGGCTAATTTTAAAAACCCTAGGCACAACATACTTTTTTTATAGGAGAAAAATAAGTCGTTGTAGTCCTGCCTTCAATCTGATTTCCCTTTCCTCCCTCAATATGATGTGATTATCAAATGAAGTATATAAGGTTATATAGGGAAGCTTACTTGTTCCGATGGGGGAGGATTATAAAGCTTCTGCTCCAAAGCCTTCGAATCCCATTCTAAACCAGACTCTAATGCTATATCTTGCAGCAATTGAAGCTTCATGTCCTTCGTAGGCGGCATAGGCTTCAACTTCTCAACAAACTACGCATTACCAATTAGCCTGGTTAGTTTTTTTTCTTCTAAAACGAAAACTAGAGAAGCAAAATTGTCATAACAAACAATGCTGCTGATTTTTTTTTCTTTTCTTTTTGGGTTTTAGAGTGAAATTATGGATTAAGCACCTTCTGATCCACATAAGCTTCAATGGAATTCCCGTATCTTTCAGAAAATATACTTCTAAGGTCGCGCAGTTCTGGCAAATCAGCAAATCTTGCTGCTGCGAACATCAAAGATGGTACAGCTTCCTTGCATTCCTCTGGACATTCTCTATCAAGAGCAGGGAAAGAAAAATCAAGGGAAGATGTGTTAGTACCATATCAAGAAAGTTAAAAATAATTAGATACTTCTACTATTTTGTTTTTTGATCGGCAACAAAAGGAATATTATTAATAACGAAAAATAAAAGGATTACAAAGAAACTGGAGGTCAAGAAGTCTGCTAAAAAAGCAAAAGGGGCGAAAAAGGCAAAACTTCTCACGGGCATAAGCTACTAAACACACACCGCCCTCATATCCCTTGAAATAAAAAATAGCGGAATTAGTTTTATCACTGCTAGCTTAGCTTTGTAGTATTGATGTTTAATACTACAACTGATTTCGGACATCCTAAATATTATGAAAAATATTCTATGAGTTGCCCATGAACATTTTTAAGCTTAACTACTAACCTAATGTAAAAAAGGCACCTAAAACAAATCTAGACACCTTACTATGTTTCCAATTTTCATTCAGAATATCCATCAACACTGTAAAATACACATATCTCACGTTATGAATATTCGTACAAGTGGGGCTTTCAAATCCTTAATTGAAATGGGAAAACAAAAGGAGCTCACATGAAGAGACAATTTGACAACAAATTGCACCCAATTCTATAGAAATTATTGTGAAAATTGACAGTATATGTTGCAAGTCCAGATACAACCCATGAAATAATTTTTGACAAAAACCCAATTTCTATGAATTAATCGGAGCGAAAAAAATGGCTTAACGATTAAGCAACTACAGAAACAATCAGATGTTATGTATAGAGAGGATTGTATCGTATCTTCAAAGGACTCAACATAGATAAAGAGCAGTAAAATTGATCAAAATAGACAGTTATGTTTGAATTTGAATATACATATATATATACCTCTGTTTGTTCATCAAGGAAAGATGATTCAAGATACACCCACAAAATTGCTCGATGAAATCATAACAAGCTGACATGTTCAGCTCAACCAGAAACCCTTCAGACTGTTCCATTGACGAGAAATTCCAAGTTACAAACTATGGATTTAAAAGTAATTCAATATATATATACACTATCACATTAAACACTGTTAGTAATGGGCGCCCATGTGACATGACCATTTGAACATAATTTGGATCTTATCCAAATAGGTTTTGAATTAAATTCAAACCTATTTAGGATAACCACTCAGGATATAAATATTATCAGTTTTAACTGATATGAATAAATAATAATAATATAATGTATATCTGATATATGGTTATGGGTAACCCAAGAGAGAAACAACGTAGGTTTTGTTTCAACCCATAAACTTACTCTCTCCCAAGAAACAACGTTCAAGTCATTTTGCACTGTGGTTTGTGTGGGTGATATTCACCATTGTAATATCACCCCACTGCTGGGATTGATTGATTAGATTCTGGAAGCACGTGATTTATCATGAGGTTTTAGATCGAATCAGGTATGATCTAAACATTTTATTCCGCTGCAAGTTTTGTGAACTCTGATTTACAAACACAGTTTTCAAATTCAACCCATCTTCTTCATTCATTAAATTGTCAAATAATTAGATGTAAAACTAGTATATATATGTGTGTGTGTGTGTGTGTGAATTAAAAAAGCTTCAAATTCATGGAAACCCAATTGGAAAACAGAGCAGAAAATCAAGAAATCACTCAATACGGAAAAAAATAGAGAAAGAAATATGTGTCTGTGCGTGTGTGTGTGTAGATTAGAAAAGCTTCAAATTCATGAAAACCCAATTGGAAAACAGAGCAGAAAAATCAAGAAATCACTCAATACGGGAAAGAAAAAAAAAATGGAGAAAGAAATATGTGCATGTGTGAATTAAAAAAAGCTTCAAATTCATGAAAACCCATTTGGAAAACAGAGCAGAAAATCAAGAAATTACTCAATACGAAAAAGAAATAGAGAAAGAAATGTGTGTATGAATTAGAAAAGCTTCAAATTCATGAAAACCAAATTGAAAAACAGAGCAGAAAATCAAGAAATCACAAAATACGAAAAGAAAAAGTGAGAAAAACCCATTGTTATTACCCTGCCATAGGCATTGATGTCGAGACCAGTTTTGAGAAGATCTGCAATGTCTTTCCTCAGAAACTTCTCCATTGCGTTTCTCTTCCTCTTTATCATATCGATTCGAGTCTTCGTGAGCTTGATTGCAGACTTGCTATATCCAAAAACACCCAAAAAAACAAAAACAAAAACAAAAACAAAATCAGATTAACAACACAATTCGTTGATAATAAAAAAAAAAAAAAAAAAAACAGAGAGACGATTTGGGTTTTCGAAAACCAACCATTTTGAGTAGAATTTGCTCTTCAATAACCCTTCAAACATGTTGATCTTTTGCACTCTTTGTTATTATTATTACGTATATATCAAAGAAGAATGTATCAATATCGAAGATTACAAAAATGATTGAATGATGTGCTGAGAATTTAAAGAACAAATGTTCTTTAAATGTGAATCAAGTTACGCCAAGAATTCGCATTGAATAAAGCCAAAGTAAAGAAAACAAGAAGCTAGTTTTGAGAGAGAAAGCAAGAAACCCGGCTACAGATGGATACAGAAAGAAGAACGAAATTCTCTCTCTCCCTCCCTATGTAATAGAGTTATAGAGAGGGAGAGAGAGTGAGTGATAATGAAAAAAGGTATAGTATATTTATTTAAGGCTAAATTACAATTTGATTCCTTATATTTAGCTTTTTTTTCTTTTTCTTTTTCTTTTTTTTTATATTTTGACTTTTAAAATTTTATTTTTCTCACTTTTGTCTTTTATATTTTAAATTTTTATAATTTATTTTAAAAGTTAACTTATAGACAACAACAACATAATATAAAAATATTTTATTATATATAATTTACACTTCTAATATAAATTCAAATTTTAATATAATAATATATTTTTTATCATGTTATAATTAACCTGGCATTTTCTAACTCACTTTGGCCTTTCATTTTTATTTTTTTTTTCATTTATTCTAATGGCTAATTTTTGTTAGAATTAAATAGATTTGATATATTAACAATCATGTAACATAAAAATATTTTATCATATATAATTCATATCTTCAACACAAATCCAAATGTCAATATAATTTATTTTTTATGTCATGTTATAGTTAAAGTGATATTTTTTTTATCTAATTTTAAACAAAAAATTTAGAAATAAATTGTAAAAACTTAAAATATTAAGGATCAAAATAAATAAATAATTTAAAAAGAGAAAATGCAATTAAGGCCTCGTTTGGAAACATGCTAATTTAATAATTTTTTAGTTATTTGATTAAAATATGAGATAAAAAAAATTAACATGTTTGTGATGACTTTTTGATTTTTTACGAAAATATGTACAAAAAGTAAAGAGAAAAAAGAATTTTTGACTTTTTAGTATGAATTGTTGAATTTTAAATTTTTTTAATGATTTTTTGACTTTTTGACTAAAAAAATTACTTGTTAAACGAGACCTAAGTCCTTATTTTTAATTAATAAAATGGTTAATAAAGAAAGAAGATGAACAACTTTAGAGAGAGGAAGAGAGAGTAGAATTTGTGTACTAAAAAAAAATACAAAACTGGTGGATGTGTAAAAGTGCAATGGGTGTGAAATGACTGAATTCGGCTTGGGTTTTGGAGGCAAAAGGGGTTATTTTGGGCGAAGATAGGGGTAGTTTGGGAAAATTAGTGTAGTGGAGTCGAGGTTTATCCAATACGAAGAGAGCGGGGTCCACATGATGCAAGAGAGAATAGGAGTGGAAAACGCGGGAGACAAACCGTCGAGGAACACTGTTGTTTGTTAGGGATTAGGGTAAATTAGTAATTATGAGTTTTTGACCTTGAACATATCTTTTAATAAAAAAATTAATATATATTTATTTTTTGCAATATAAAAATTAGTAATCATTTTTTGCCAAACTATGTTTTGTTGAATTCGTCGGACTTCGTTGAAATTCAAATATAATTATAATATTTTTATTTTATCATGTGTTTTTTTTTAAATAAAAAAAATTATAATTGCCAAATTTGCTTAAAGGTTGGTTTGGGAAGTAGGTTGACTTTTTGGCTTTTTGATTTTTTTGACTATTTTAGCCTGGGCTAAAAAACTTAGTTTGGAAAGGACTTTTTGGTTTTTTGACTTTTTTGACTTTTTTTGTGAAAGAATAGTGTAATGATTATGGGTTGGATGTGATGTTTTGTTTGTTGTGACTAAAATAATCTGGATCAACTTGAGGGACCTTAGACATTATGAAAATATTTGATGTCCTTTATGCTATAAAATGTTAATACCAAGGACCTTAAAAAAAAAACCCCTTTATTTTATCATGTGTTTTTTTTAAATAAAAAAAATTATAATTGCCAAATTTGCTTAAAGGTTGGTTTGGAAAGTGGGTTGACTTTTTGGCTTTTTGGCTTTTTTGGCTATTTTAGCCTGGGCTAAAAAACTTAGTTTGGAAAGGGCTTTTTGATTTTTTGACTTTTTTGACTTTTTTTGTGAAAGAATAGTGTAATGATTATGGGTTGGATGTGATGTTTTGTTTGTTGTGACTAAAATAATCTATTTTGTCTTTTGTGACTAAAATAGTCAAAAAAAACCACAAAACTACTTCCCAAACGGTGCCTTAATTTTTTTTAATGATATACGTGATGGTCTTGCAAATGAACAATTTTAAATAATTGAGATGGGATCTGTGATCAGTTTTACAAGCCCGAATATGATCAAGTTCATATTTGAATTTGAGATAAATTCAACCTTTTAAAAATCAATTTTATAAAAAAATTCAAAAATTAGTTTTGTGAAAAAAACTAAAATATAAAAACACAACTAATCTCTAAATATTTTAAAATATTTCAAAAAAATAAATTCTGAAAACTCAAATCCAACATAATTTGAATGGCTGCAAGATGTCTTGAATTTGGAATTTTTATACATTTTTTAATCAACAATAAAATTTGTCATGATTTTTTAGATTGTATTGGAATTCTGAATTTTAGTAGGAATTTGTATACAGAAAAAAATGCAAATAAAATGTAAGTTAATTTTTTTATAATATTCTCCTTCTCTTTTCTTTTTTCACCATAAATTTTCACTAAAATTAAAAATTCAAACATAACCAGCGCATTTGATTTATTTTGTGTATTTGCTCATTTGACATATCATATACAATTCAACAGTGATTGTAACATCTAAATTTGCACCACTAAACCAACTCTAATGAGCTGGAAAATCAAAAAAAAAAAGAACACAAGAGCAAAACAACCCATCATGTGGGACCCATACCAACATTAGAGCTATTAGTGCTCTTGAATTAGAGGTAGAGACATTCTTCTTTGTACAATTATTCCAAAAAAAATATTCTTATGATTGGCCTTAAACAAATTAAGACCTCTACCTTCATAGAGAGGAAACATTGATATATTCCTGAATTACAAAATAGGTACAACACACATGCTTTACAACAAATTGAAGTCTCTACATGAGGCTCCAAGATAGTTCATATTTATAAGTATATCTCTATTTGCCTTGAGTTATAAAAATATAATTTGTTTGTTTATTAGCTAATAGTTCAAAATACTAAAGATTTGTGATTTTTTTAACTAAAATTTTTAAACTAACCACACACACAAAAAAATAAAAATAAAAAAAAAAAGAAAAAAGGATGTGGTCTTGGCAAAATAAAAATAGAACAATTGTTTTTTATTTTTATTTTTTATTGCTAAATGGCAATTTGATAAAAATAAATAAAAAAATGAAAAAGTAAAAATGCATCATGATTTACCCAAGAGAAGAAAAGAATAAGTACGAGGGAGTAAACTTCTTACCATTCCTTGTTTTGTGGTGATGAAAAAGGACAACATGTGCCCTTGTCTGAAGGACTAGCTAGCTCTTGAAAGTTCATGAAAAAGACAAAGATGTGCTTCCAATTATGGAGTAAAATAGATAAATGAAAAGTAGGTGCTAAATGGTGCATTGGAAATGTAAAAATGATTTTGTTCATAGTGACATAGCGTGTGGTTAAAACATAATTTATTACAGCAGTGCTATGCTACAGACCTCTAGTGGGGTGACTTTCAGTGACTCTTAGTGTCATGTGTCGACTTAGAGTTTGTTGAAAATCAAAAAAAAAAAAGAAAAATTTATTTTTTGACCTATGGGAAGAGACTCCCAATACTTCCACTGGAGTCCGAAGTTTTATTCAATTTATTATTGATTTAAAATAGTGTAAATAAATGAATAAGAAATGAGCAAACAAATCGAGTTGAGCCATGAGGTGTTTGAGATTTGTTCACGAAAAAATTTGTCGGAGTTTAAGCTGAGTTCAAGTTAAGTTTTAAAAATTGAGCTTAGGACAAAATCAGGTTGATTATACAAATGAGCCAAGCTCAATTTAAAAAAAAATTTAAAAAGAAATAATTAAGAAATCGGAGTGCATATTAAAAGAAAAACAAAAAAAAAAATGTGAGCAAAATATAACATAATGATTATATTATTAATTAATTTTTTTTAATTGCATATGTAAATTCACATAAATACCAATCATAAATAGAGAAATAGAACAAACTAATGAGAATATATTTAATACATTATTAAAACTAAATATTAATTTTATATATAATTATGTCCACCAATCTATTCGAACCAAGCTTGGATTTTACTCAAGCCCAACTTATTTATTAAATGAGTTTAAAAATTTGGCTCGAATTTTAACAAGTGAAAATTTTAAGAATATTCATTATTCATTATTAACAAAAAGAAATATATATGATCAGTTTTTAACTTGGGACTAACTTAATTATTAAATAAGTTTAAAAATTTGACTCGAATTTTACAAGTGAAAATTTAAAAAATATTCATTATTCATTAACTTGGGACCTAACTTTATTCCTCTTCCATTCAATGCTTGAACTGTTTAGATTACAAAGGAACAACTTTTATTCTACACCAGCAAAATGATAACCCTGGCTTGGGAATATGAATCCCATTGTTATAAAAATCAATCACTACTTAATTATTATGCTGTGTTTGATTAGCGAATTTGAGAAGGAATTTGGAAAAATAAATAAAAAAAGTAGGTGAAATTTAAAAAAATATACTTATATTTTACATAATTTCATACACATTTTTCCTTTTCCTTTTCAAATTCTTCCCCAAATCTCCCAACTAAACACAGTAACAAAACAACAATGTCATAAGTTTATCATCTCATTTATTATAGGGTCCTTCTAATGCTGCCCTTAAGCTGTCAATAAGCATCACAAAAATTTAAAAATTTTATAATCTCAGTTTTATATGTTTTAAAAAAATTTTACATGTTTTTTAACACTAATAACCTTAAAAATCTTGTTTTTATTAATTTTTTTATTTATAATTGTATTAGTTAAATGGGTCTCACAACTCAAATTTGTTATTAATATAGTGATGACACAATATATGATAAATTTAAATTAAATGTATTATATAAATATAATCATTGTAAAATTATTTACAAAAAAAAAAGAAGCTAAGGGCATGTTTGATTGGAAGGATTAGAGTATGGGATTGAAATTATTAATCCGTGATCCAATTATCCCATGTTTGTTTTGACAATTTGTTTTAGTATTATTAATCTAATGGATAATTAATCTAACAAATTTG